GGGGGTGGGCTGGGGAAAGACTGAATACCCAGGGGCAGAGGCCCAGATGCCAAACGGGGAACCGGGTATCAAACATTCATGAGGGGTGCGGCCCAGGTGGTTCCACACCCAGTACTGGGCTGGGGGAGGCAGAGCGGCAGCCAGCTGTTGGGGTGGGGAGGGCTGGGTGGAAAGGGCTGGGAGGGAGCTCACTTCTGACGGATGATGTCAAGTTTCTCGGCGATTTCCAGGTGGCCCCGGGGTTGGAAGGAGAAAGCTGGATGTGGATGAAAAGCAATGGGCTAAGATGGGGAGAGGCAGGGAGATGGGACAGAGAGAAAGATTAGAAAAACGGCGGGAAGGAAAGGCAGTAAGACAGAAAGGGAGCGAAAAGGAGAGAGAGGAAGAAAGAGAAAGGTTAAGATGGATGCAGAGATGGGAGCCAGAAAGAGATTGAAGGCAGGATCAGAAAAGGAGAGGAAGAGAGAAGGGAAAGAGAAGGAAACACTAGGTAGAAGGGAGAGAGATCAGAGAGAGAGGGAGAGAGCCAGAGAGGAAAAGCCCACGAGAGATGGGGCCAAAGACAGTTGGACAGAGACAGGGGCAGGCACACACAGACACAGGGTGAGAGGACCCGGTGAGGTGAGGGGAGAGAATAAAAACAGAACTGCCCCCGAGAGACAGCCTCACTGGGCTCCAGCTGAGGAGGAGGAAGCCAGCACAGCCCCAGACCCAGAAGCCCCGCCCCCAGCCTGGGCTGCCCGGGCCTGAGTGTGGCCCACCTGGCTTGTCTCCGATCACGTGTAGCACTCGGGCTTGGCTCTCGTCCCCGATGGGCTGCAGGGAGACAGAGGGCATCACCAGAAATCACCTTATAAAAGGTGTCCCCCCTGGCAGACACAGCCTCGTGTCCGGCATGTGGCTGGACCCTCACTGTGCTGTTAGGCAGTAAACAACCTGCACAGCTGTACATGTTGGCCCTGGGGTTGCCAAGGCCACCAACAGGTCAGAAAGGTGGCACTAGGCAGGCCCGTGGCCTCCGTTGCCCAGCACAGGCCTTACCACGTCTGGGTGGGTCTGGTTGGGCAGCCTCAGCGCCCGCAGGTAGAACTGCTCCTCAAGCTGGGCCTCCTTGGGGTACAGGAGCGCGAGCTGCTTCCGGATCTCCCGGCCCTGTGCCCGCAGACTCTGATACTGCGGGTCCTGGGGGCAGGGTGAGAAGGGTCAGCCCAGGCCAGGGTGGGGGAGTCCCTCCACCAGTCTGACCTGGGTCCCTGCTGGCAGAACCTCTGTGGTAGACAATTTGCTGCCTCTGCTTTCGGCTCAATATCCTTAATTGCCTTTAGGGAACCTCCCTTCTTCCTTCACCTTCACATGGCACATCCTTGGGGACATGACTCAGGCCTGGATTACTGGAACATTTCATTGCCTTGGCCCCAGTGACTGGCTCAAAGACAGGCACCTGACACAAACCAAACTTATGAGAATCAGCCCCAGGACTACGGCTGGAGCTATAAGGGAAGAGGTTCTTTTTGTCCCCGACCCTGCCTCCCTTCCCCCAAGGGGAGAAAGCTGGTCTGGGAATAAGAGGGAAGTAGAACCAAACACAGAGCCAGGACCTAGACCTAGCTGTACCTGAAGCTTGCTTTTTAGTTTCATGAATCAATAGAGCCTGTTTTCCCCCCTTAATCCTGTCTGAGTTGTCACACACAATGGAGGAATCATGACTGACATATGAACTGCCCACCCACCACCTGGGACAGTATGTTAACTCCCTGTGGTACCTGCTGCACTTGATTGTTGTCTTGGTTCACCTGGTAGAAAAGACAGACAGGGTGATTGGTTTGATGCGGTTGAGGGTGGGGAGGAGGGGGGTGAAAGGTCAAACAGGCCAGGGGATCTGAACTGTTGCTCTGTCAATGCCTGGCTGGGTCCCTCCTTGACTGTGCCTCAGTTTTTGTCAGTAAAGCTGTGAAGAGGAAAATAATAATAATCACACCTGCAACCCCATTTCCTGAGCGCTGCCTCATGCCTGGCACCATGCCGAGGGCTCTCACATGATCCTATTTCTTCACAACCTACTCCACGAAGTTGGCATCAACGTGACCCCGTTTTGTTTTGTTTTTGTTAATCCTCACCCGACGATATTTTTTCCATTGATTTTTAAAGAGTGGAAGAGAGAGGGAGTGACAGTGAGGGAGAGAAACATAGATGTGAGAGACACATTGATTGGCTGCCTCCCGCAGGCACCCGACTGGCGCTGGGGATCGAGCCTGCAACCAAGGTATGTGCCCTTGACCAGAATCGAACCCACAACCCTTCAGTCCACCGGCCGACATTCAAACTGGCTAGGGCCGTGACCCCGTTTTGTAGATGAGAAAACCGAGGATCAGAAAGACAGTCTGTGAGCGTGTATTGGAGGTCTGCGACCAAGGGCCTTTGATACCCCAAGCCTCTATGATGCTGAGCAACAGAGGGAATCAGACAGAACTGGGTCTGAATGCTGGGTGCTGACCCGCTGTGTGCCTTTGGGCATATCTCTTTCCCTGTCGGAGCCTCGGCATTCCCATCTGTGAAATGGGATGATAACAGGACCTCCCAGCAGGCTGGTGCATGGCTTCTCTGAGAAGATGCTCTGGCACTCACTGACCATTAACTGAGATCAATTGTGTTGTGATGCTTGTGGCCCAGGGAGGTGTAATCAGTGTTGCGAGAGGCCTTCGAACAGAGTGCTGAAAGGCAGCCCAATGCCTGGATGCGAATCCTGCCTCTCCCGCTCTCTGGCTGAGACTGAGGCATGTTTTAACCGCCTGAGGCCTCAGCCTCCTCAGCTGTAGAACTGGGTTTGTACTGTCCCGGTCTCAGTGTTGTGAGAATTTAGAGTAAGGGAAGCATCTAGAACAGTGCCTGGCACACAGTGACTGGCATATAAGTGCCTGCTGTTGTTTTTATGACTATTTTTCAGCCCTCTGCGGCAGATGCTGCTGGCTGTCTAATCGAACAGAGTGCTGAAAGGCAGCCCAATGCCTGGATGCAAATCCTGCCTCTCCCGATTCCTGGCTGTAGGACTGAGGCATGTTTTAACCCAGTGATGGCGAAGCTCTTGAGCTCGGCATGTCAGCATTTTGAAAAACCCTAACTTAACTCTGGTGCCGTGTCACATATAGAAATTTTTTGATATTTGCAATCATATGCTTGTGGCCCAGGGAGGTGTAATCAGTGTTGCGAGAGGCCTTCGAACAGAGTGCTGAAAGGCAGCCCAATGCCTGGATGCGAATCCTGCCTCTCCCGCTCTCTGGCTGAGACTGAGGCATGTTTTAACCGCCTGAGGCCTCAGTCACATATAGAAATTTTTTGATATTTGCAATCATAGTAAAACAAAGACTTATATTTTTGATATTTGTTTTATATATTTAAATGCCATTTAACAAAGAAAAATCAACCAAAAAAATGAGTTCGCGTGTCACCTCTGACACGCGTGTCATAGGTTCGCCTTCACTGTTTTAACCGCCTGAGGCCTCAGCCTCCTCAGCTGTAGAACTGGGTTTGTACTGTCCCGGTCTCAGTGTTGAGAATTTAGAGTAAGGGTAGCATCTAGAACAGTGCCTGGCATATAAATGCCTGCTATTGTTTTTATGACTATTTTTCAGCCCTCTGCGGCAGATGCTGCTGGCTGTCTAATCCAAACTCACCCACCCTCCTTCCTCCCTTCCCACAGACCCCCGACTCAGTCTGCCCTCCCAGGCTGCCTGGAGTTCAGGGAATACGGGTCCAGCTGAGGTTGCCTCTTGCTGCTGATGGGTGGGCGTGGGAATTCTGGGCCCAGGAGAGTGAGAGGATCTGCTGAGGCTTCATGGAAGGTCTCCCTACTCTTGGAAAAGGCACTCAAGCCAGAGAAGCCCCATTTTCAGCCTCTGGCAGAGTCACTGGAAGAGACACTGTACTACGACAACCATCCTGGAACTGTGAGAGGGGAAACTGAGGTCAAATCACCACAGTGAAGTCATGGGAGAGAGAGGGAAGGAACCTGGGTTGGGGATGCTGGGGGAGCCACTAATTTATCAACCCCAGGAATGCCGGGCCCTGGACAGCTTGTTATGTGAGGTAATGAATGTCCACATCCTTCAAGTTCCTTAAATTTGGTTTCTCTGCCCTGACCGGTTTGGCTCAGTGGATAGAGCGTCGACCTGTAGACTGAAAGGTCTCAGGTTCGATTCCGGTCAAGGGCATGTACCTTGGTTGTGAGCACATCCCCAGTAGGGGGTGTGCAGGAGGAAGCTGACCGATGTTTCTCTCTCATGCATGTTTCTAACTCTCTATCCCTCTCCCTTCCTCTCTGTAAAAAACCATTAAATATATTTTTAAAAAAGAATAAAAGATATATGCAAAAGCATATATAAAACAAAATTTAAAAAAACTTGGGTTTCTCATTCAAACCAGCCAGTGGCATCCTGCCTGCAGCCCCACCCACCCAGGACCCATGCTTACCAGCAGGGCCTGCACCGCCTCCGCCACAGCCCCCTTCTCCTCCTCCAGGCTCCGGATCTGCTCCCGCAGCTGCCTCAGCTCCTGCCATGTCGCGATCTGGGGGTGAACACAGCAGGGAAAGATGTGAAGCAGCCCCCGTCCTCTGCCCCACCTGGACCCTCTGTCCGGGGCAGCCATTCTCCCCGCTTCCCTTCATATGAGGACTTCCTGGAGCTTCCCTTCCTCAATCCCCACAGACTGGACGATGGACCCTAAGGAGAGCTGAACAGCTGAACAGAACAACATCCTAAGGGACACAGAACAAGGAGATGAAAGCACCTGGCACTGAGGGACGTGGAGCTGAGGCCCCCGCCAGCACTCAGACTCCATGTGGGAGCAGAAGAGCCTCTACCCTAGGGGCTGCCAGAGCAGCTAACCCCGCACTCTCCAACACGGGTCAGGGGGCAGGAGCCCAGCTCTCCCTTCTGGGGCACACATGTTGCCTTGGAGGCCCTCTGGGGGCCCAGGTCCCCGGGCAAACTCCTTTGTCCTCTCTGGTTACAGTTTCTTTTCAACAAACGGGTATAGACACTGCTCTACGGCCCCGGGCCGGAAGCCTGGAGGGGACACGGGCCATAGGTTGGGTTGCTACTCATTTAGAGGCTCCTCCTGGATGTTCCCTGTCACCATGTGCAAGATCACTCTGGGAAAAGCATCACCCAGATCTGCTCCTCCTCCCACCAACTCCCATCCTCCATCCCAAAGCCCTGGGCCGCCTCCTGGATGCCACCCCAGCCCCGAGGCCAGGCACCAGGGCTTGTGAACAACCGTCAAATCTGTCCTCCCCATCCCCCCTCTCCCGGATACCCCAGATCCTGTCATTTCCAGTGAGGATCCCTGTGCGAGCCTCCCAGCCTTCAGGCTCCCCTTCTCCCCCCAATCCTCTGGCCAGAGTTCTCACACAGCTCCTCTTCTGCCTGAGAGTGACCACTCTGCAGTCCCCGGGAACAATCACACAAGGCCGCATGCCACAGCCCTCCTCACACTTTATGCCCCAAAGAAGTGTTCTTTTTCAAGCTTTGGGATGTGGTAAATAGACACCAAATTTACCATTTTAGTCATTTTTTAAGTATACAGTTCAGTGACACAGAGTACATTCACACTGTTGTGTTACCATGATCCCCATCCATCTCTAGAACTCTTTCACCTTCCCAAACTGAAACTGTACCCATTAGACACAAACTCTCACTCTCCCCTCCCCCAGCCCCTGGCAACCACCATTCTACTTTCTGACTCTATGAATTTGACTACTCTAAGTAACTTAGATAAGTGGAATCATATAGTATGTCTTTTTGTGACTGGATTTTTTCACTTAACATATGTCCTCAAGATTCACCCATGAGCCCGGCCGGTGTGACAAAGTGGATTGAGCGTTCTCCTGACATGCCTGGGTTGCAAGGCTAAATCCCCAGTAGGGGGCATGCAGGAGGGCATGTAGATCGATGTTTCTATCTCTCTAAAATAAATAAAAACACTTTTTAAAAAAGGTTCATCCAAGCCCTAGCTGGTTTGGCTGAGTGAATAGAGTGCCAGCCTGCAGACTGAAGGGTCCTAGGTTTGATTCCAGTCAAGGGCACATGCCCAGGTTGTGGGCTCGATCCCCAGTAGGGGGCATGCAGGAAGCAGCCAATCAATGATTCTCTCTCATCATTGATGTTTCTATCTCTCTCTCCCTCTCCCTTCCTCTCTGAAATCAATAAAAATATATTTTAAAAAAATAAATAAAAAAGTTCATCCATGCCCTGACCGGTTTGGCTCAGTGGATAGAGCATCGGCCTGCGGACTGAAAGGTCCCAGGTTCGATTCCGACCAAGGGCATGTACCTTGCCTGCGGGCACATCCCCAGTAGGAGGTGTGCAAGAGGCAGCTGATCGATGTTTCTAACTCTCTATCCCTCTCTCTTCCTCTCTGTAAAAAATCAATAAAATATATTAAAAAAAAAAAAGTTCATCCATGATATAACATATGTCAGACCTTCCTTTTTAAGGCTGAACAATATTTTTATACATAGGGTAGGGTGTCCCCCAAAAGTGTATACACACACTTTGAATAATTACTAATTCCAGTGGGTTAAATCTGAAAAGAAAGAAAAATCAATTGAGCTATATATAAAGTACATATACATTTTTTAGGACACCCTGTATATACAAACACACACACTCACTCACTCACACCACATTTTGTTTATCCATTCATCTATCAATGGACACTTGGGTGATTTCCACATTTTGGCTGTTGTGAATAATGCTGCCATGAACATGAGTGTGCAAATATCTGCTGAAGTCCCTGCTTTCAATTCTTTGGGGTATATACCCAGAAGTGGAATTGCTGGATCATATAGTAACTCTATGTTTAATTTCTGGAGGAACTTCCAGACTGTTTTTCTACAGTGACTGTATCCTTGCCAACACTTGTTATTTTCTGCTTTTTTTAAAATAATAGCCATTCTAATGGGTATCTAAGCCAGGACTTTTAAAATTAAAATAGAGTATAATAAAACATAAGAACGTATCATACAAGCCCTAACCGGTTTGGCCCAGTGGATAGAGCGTCGGCCTGCGGACTGAAAGGTCCCAGGTTCGATTCTGGTCTAGGGCATGTACCTTGGTTGCGGGCACAACCCCAGTAGGAGGTGTGCAGGAGGCAGCTGATCGATGTTTCTATCTCATCGATGTTTCTAACTCTCTATCCCTCTTCCTTCCTCTCTGTAAAAAATCAATAAAATATATTAAAAAAAAAAAAAGAATGTATCATACATAGTAAGAGCAAGAATTGTTAATAAAACTGGTTTCATCTTGGGGTGTGTGTACTAGATCAGGATGTGAAATGTGTTTCTTATTCTTGGCCACAGTGTGAAAGACCCTAAGTCATATACCTGTCCACCAAATGGATATTGCGTCTTACCTCTAGGCTTTAGTAGTGCTGATCCCTCCACTGGGACCCTCCTCCCGTTCCCCTGGCTGACCTCACTCATTCCACAGACGTTTGCTTAATGCCACCTCCTCTGAGAAGCCCTCCCAGAACGGTGTCCTCTACTCTTGTTTTTATAAAATCTTTATGTCCCTTCCGCCCCCCTACTCTGTCTTTACAGCACTTACCAAAGATTATGTTTTTAATTGTATGTTAAATCTCTCTCTTTCACTAGACTGTGAACTCAGATCGTCTTGCTCGTGAGTAAGCATAGTGGGGTAGTTCACACTGCGTCTGGAACCAAGCAGCACAGGTTCAAATTCCCACTTGTCGCCAGCTACGTGATTTGGGGCAAGTTAATTAACTTCTCTGAGCCTTATGGCACCTACCTCACAGGGTTGTGGTAAAACTCAAATGAGGTTAATATGTATAAAGCACTTAGAAAAGGATAGTAGGAGAGTCCAAGAGAGGGCTGCAAGGATTTGGGGTCCCCACCATCCTCAACACCGCAGCAAGACCTAAGTATGGTGATGCCGGTTCTAGTTGGATTAGATTTAGCCTTAGGATGAGCCCGGCATGAAGTCGAAGCACAGAGGACATTGGCACACAGTTCCTAGCGCAGAGCAGATGCCCAGCACGCTTTGCGGAACAGGCCCATGATGGGGGTCCAGGGAGTAGGGCCTCAGCGCTCGGTGGACAACGCGCACATGCGTGAGGTCCTAGCGTTACACGTGGACAAGAACTAAACTTCAAGCGGTAAGACCGCCCCCTGCTGGAGAGTGTCTCCCAAACCCATTCGTCCGTAAAGTGAACAGCCAATAGGCAAAGCGCTCTGGCCCGACGCTGGCCCGCGCAAGCGCACTCACGATCGCCGGCAGGTCGTCCGGCCGCAGCTCCCCCTTGCGGTGCTCCAGGGTGCGCGCGGCTTCTTCCGGGCGTGTGCACAGCGGCTCCAAGTCCAGCTGAGGGAGCGCGCTGTAGCCCTCGCGTGCGTGTTCGTACAGGAGGTTCCGATCTCGCCTCTCGGTTGCGAAACTTCTCCTTGGCCTCTGGCTGCAGACACAACCTCCGCGGGGCCGGAGCCCTCGGCGGGCCACCAAAGGCCACCAGCGCCGGGCTACAGACGCAGCCATCTTGGCCAGGGGACAAGGCGACACACACCCGTCGTCCCGCCCACTCCGCGTTTAGACCAATTGCAAAGCAGCCATCCTCCGGCGGACGAGTCACGTAGACCTTGGAAGAGGTGACCCTCTTCCGAATCTCAAAAGCGGTTCAGTGAGAAAAGTTGACCGAGATTGACTCGGCCGTTGCCCAATCGCAGTCTTGGCCACGCCCCTCCGGTGAGAGGCGGGACCGACCGGGCTTACCGCCGGAAGTGGCGGAAGGCTGTGTTCGGCGTGCCGGCGGGCCCTGCTGGGGTCAGTGAGGTCGGTGGACTCCAGGGGTCTCCAAACTTCCCCGGTTCTCGCCTGTCTCCCCTCTACTCTAGGGGGCGGGCGGGCCCCAAAGCCTGCCCAGGGCGAGCGTCAGAAGAAATTCTTGAGTTTAACCAGGTCCCGAGAGCGGGAAGGGAGCATGTGGGTGCTAGCCCGACTACGGGCACTCCCCTCCTCGTTTCTGAGTCTCTTGTCCCCTAACACAGGGACGCCGCGGACGGCGGGATGTCGTGGTCCGGCCTTCTCCGGGGCCTCAGCATGCCCCTGAGCTACAGTAAGTGGGCGTCTTGGGCTACGGAGTCGAGGCTGGACGAGGGACGTCTGTGCCTCTGCCACGGACCCAAAGGAATCAGGGTTTTAAATCAAGGGTGGCTGTACGATGGGTTTTGGCGGAGCTCGGGTGCAAAAGCAGATGTGAGAAGTAGTCGTCGTGGTCCGGCCTTCTCCGGGGCCTCAGCATGCCCCTGAGCTACAGTAAGTGGGCGTCTTGGGCTACGGAGTCGAGGCTGGACGAGGGACGTCTGTGCCTCTGCCACGGACCCAAGGGAATCAGGGTTTTAAATCAAGGGTGGCTGTACGATGGGTTTTGGCGGAGCTCGGGTGCAAAAGCAGATGTGAGAAGTAGTTGCATTAAGGGCTACCATGTGTCAGGGGAGTAGCAGGAGTTTGGGTCAATTATTTCTTCAGTAACCACTGTACTTACCACCTGTGGTTTAGACTTCTGAGCAAGGCGTTTAACTCATTCATTCAGCTGATATTTTTCAAGGGCCTTGTATGTGCCAGGCACCGAGAGCGATGCTTTATTTATGAACTTACTCTCTTAACAAATATTAAACGCTTCTCATGGCCCTTTGTGAGGTACTTCATTCACTTATTCACCTTCTGTTTGCCACTTACCAAGGATCACAAGGCTGAGCAAGACAGGCCTGCACCTGCCTGGGGAATCTGGGCTGACAAGCAGGTCTCATGATAGCCTCTCACACACGGTGTTCAGGAGGGAGACATGGTCGTGAAGGACACGGAGACATTGAGTGACCGAGAGTCTTTTTTTTAAAAAATAGTTTGATTTTTAGAGAGAGAGGTAGGGAGGGAGAGAGGAACATCCGTGTGAGAGTGTAACATTTGATCGGCTGCCTCCTGCATGCCGCCTACCCGGGATCGAGCCCCAAACCCAGGCATGTGCTCTGACCAGGAGTTGAACCGGCAACCTTTGGGTTCATGGCACCACACCCAGCTAACTGAGCCACACCAGTCTTGCTGAAGGGCACACCACTAGGAAGAGACTTCTAGGGAAGATTGTGCTGTAACTCGAGACAGAGGAGAGGTGGAGTGGACAGTAGGGCCAGGACCTGCCTTTGATGCGGAGGGGTGAAATTGGGTGTGAAAGGGCATCCATGCTATGACAGAGGGAAGAATGGACCTCAAATCCGGGTCTGGGAACTCTTAAGAGGACATGGTCCAGGGCTGTCTCAATCACTACTGGTCTCCATTGTTGGGCCATGAAACAGTAGGTGCTCAGTGAATGTTTGTTGAAGAGAATCCAGTTATCTTTGAGTCTCGCATCCTGCATTTTATCCATGAGCAAATCCTGTGGGTCTGTCTTGGAAATATATTCTGTCCCCCACCTGCCTTTCCTCTTATTATAGTGCAGCTACACTGGTCTCCTTTCTGTTGATGTGTTTGGGGACACAGGCTGTAGCTGGGTGAGTAAGGGGGTGAGATGAGGTAAGGGAAGTACCAGGCGCAGACCCTGGCGGGCCTTGTGGCAGGACTTGGACTCTTACCCTGAGTGAGATGGCCCCACAGGAGGGCTCTGAGCAGGGGAAGGATGTGATCTGATCCGGGTGGCACAGGGTCCCTCTGCCTGCATGTTGGAGCAGGTAGTGGGAGTGGGGAGACCTGGGAGAAGAGGGTGGACAGGACAGGAGAGGGTATAATGGAGGAGGGAGAAAGAGTGTGTTTGAAAGTTCAGCTGACAGGATCTGCTCACAGGGCAGATGGGTGTGACAGGAGGAGGAGTGACACCTTCCTGAAATACCCCATAGTGTTGCTGTGAGAATGGCATGCGTTAACGTAGGTGTGATGCATAGAACAAGATTTGAGCATTGTGAGCCTGTTTGCTTTCATTATTCTCTTTAAACAGCTTTACAATTAATACCTTTCTTGCAGAATAAAATGAGTTAATTCATGTAAAATGCTTAAAAGAGAACCTGACATATGGTGGTTGCTTAATAAATGTTTGTTATTGTTATCCTCTGTGAGTTCCCAAAGATGTAAACAGGCATCTTATAAAGGGCTTGGGACAGTGCCTGGAACATCAGAATTGAGTTGCTAATACTGTTACTTGTTCATTGGGATAATAACCCCACTCTGCCCTCCCGCATTGTGTCTTCCAGGCCTCGCCCTGGTCCCCCGGCTCTGGGCCACCCGCCCCATGGCCACCCTGAATCAGATGCACCGTCGGGGGCCTCCGAAGTGGCCGCCTCCAAAGCTGGGTCCCACAGAAGGCCGGCCGCAGCTGAAGGGCGTGGTTCTACGCACATTCATCCGTAAACCCAAGAAGCCCAACTCAGCCAACCGCAAGTGCTGCCGCGTGCGGCTCAGCACAGGCCGAGAGGCCGTCTGCTTTATCCCAGGAGAGGGCCACACCCTGCAGGAGCACCACGTTGTGCTTGTGCAAGGCGGACGCACCCAGGACCTGCCTGGTGTCAAGCTCAAGGTTGTGCGTGGCAAGTATGACTGTGGCCATGTGCAGAAGAAGAAGTGACCGCCAGGGGCACGGTGGGTGGGGTTTCCGTAGAACAAGAACCTTTGTCTGTGGGTTCCTGCAGTATCCTTGGGAAGCTAGGCTAGTTCTAGAAGCAGCTGGCCCTGGTTCAAATCCTGGCTCCTCTTCCATCAGGACCACCAATAGCCCATAGGGGTCCTGGGTGTGAATTAGAAAAGGTGCCCCTCTGCCGACATCCTTGGTGTCCATGTGTAGAGGTTGGTGCAAGAGGCTTCTGCTGGAACAGTACCCTATTGCCATCTGATGAGAAGGGGTTGCAATAAACACACACCGACTCTGGTTTGACGTGTACACCTTGACGTATTCACCCTCTGTGTGGTCTTGGCAACTGAATGACCTCTGGGCCTGTTTCCTCCTCTACTCACAGCATCCCCTTTGTTGGGTTTGGTGAAGATTAGACACTATGAACAAAGCGCATGTGGATGGCTACTCTGTTTTAAGGTTTGGAGTCTGGTGGTAGGACTGAGACCCAGTTCCCCTTCCTACAGGCCCGGTGCCTGGGCAAGGAAAGGCCTGCCCTCAAGCTTCCTCCTGAAGATGGATCAATTGTAATGGTGGTGATGGAGTGTTGAGAAAGGACTGAGTGGGGACAGGGGAGGGCACTGCTGCCTACATGGGAACTTCTCTTCTGTGTTATCCTCAGAATCACACTCCTGGGTTCAAATCACACCTCGACCTCTTAGTTCGGTGACTTTGGGTTTATTTGTCCCCCCAACACCTCCGGACTTGTTTTCATCCCTTGGGAAATGGTCCTGAAAGTAATACTGCCCTCACCTGATTATATGGTTGGCCATGTTAGATTTTAAGATTGGGAGCTGGGCTATATCCTTGGGCTCTGGAGCCCAACTCAGGTGCAAGTTCTGCCTTCCCTACTTACTGGCGAGGTGACCTTGGGCAGGTCATTAAACTCTGAGCCTGTTTCCTCCTGGACTAAATGGCATTGATAATGGTCCCGCCTGAGAGCTGTTGGGAGAACCGCTGAGGACTGGCATCAGAGCCGCCTCCGTTTCCAGCACAGCGCTTGGTACACCTAAAGGTCTCACAATTGAGAACATCCCACAAGGCCTTTTAGGATCAGAGAGGGGGGCAGATAAGTGCACTGATTACAGACAAGTCCCCTATCACCTCACGTTTAGCACCAATTTTATTGAGTTTGTTCGGTGGCTTTGCCCACATAGGGAAAGAGTGGGAGACACGAGAGGAGTCGGGACAGGACTCCACGTCACTTTACTGCTCATGGCACTCCTCGCTCCTGGAGTTTGTATGCAGGTGGGCTTGAACGGAGAAAAGGAAGGTGTTGCCTTACAGGAGCCAAGCTGTCCCTGAGGCAGGGGCAAGAGGTGTGGGTGAAGGGCACAGCACAGACCTGGTCTCTGATCCTGTAAGAAACAGTGCCAGTCTAGTCCAAAGGGGGGTGCTGATGGGCAGTGCTGAACAAGGTTGCACAGGCCCCACAGCTGAATCCGAGACTCCCCAAAACAGCAGAAAGGGTTCCCTTCGATGTCCCTGTTGGTCCCCTCAAGGGCAGGCTTTTCTGACTGGCCTCTGCTCCCTGCCAGCAATCAGCTTACCCTGGAAACATGCAAGAGAGTCACTGTCCCAGGCTTCAGCAGCTTTCACCCATCAGCAATCCTGTTCGGCCTTTGTTTTTTTGATTCAGTCTATCAGCTGACATCCACACATGAGAAAACAATTTGCAGGCAAATTAAAAGTCTCAGTTATTCCTTGAACCCTCTGACTCAGGAAGCTGTGAACAGCCCAGTTGGATACCTGGTTTCTTGAGCAGCATGTGGGCCACCATTCTGAAGCAGTAGCACATGAGGCTTGCTGGAGGCTGGCGGGGCATCCTCCGGCTCCTGGCTGCAAAGCTGCCCTTGATTGGCAATGATGTCGGGCAGGTGGTAGTAGGTCCTAAAAGGCCTGATCAGGCTGGTGGGCTAGGACAAGCGGATCCTGACCCTCACGCTGGAGTGGGTCACAAGGGCGCCATAGTGCCCCACCCAGGAGCGTGTGTCTCTCCCATACTGCTCAAAAGACACGTATCGGATGCCCTTGCCAAAGTTGGTGAAGACGTGGGAGACCTGCACGGGGAAGGAGACCAAGAGGGTGAGGACCTGTGGGCTCTTCCTCCTCCTCCAACTGATCAAGTAGGTGCTCTGGGCGCTGGGGATACAGCAGTGAGGAAAGTAACACAAAGACCCTGCTCTGATGGAGCTGACCATCTAGTAGGGGACCCAGACACTGAAGATAGATGGGGTAAGGAACAGAGGGAATTCTGCAGGGGGAGGGGTTGCAAAGTGAGTAAGCAAAGGCCCATTGACATTTGAGCAGACACCTGAGGCGATCTGGAGGGAGAGTGTTCTAGACAGGACCAGTCAGTGCAAAGGCCCCGGGTAGGTGTGTGACTGGAGCACAGGGAGGGGAGAATTAGGAAATGGGGTCAAGGAGGTAAAATTCACCTAACAAACTACAATTCAGCGGTTTTTAGTACATTCACGATGTTAGGCAACCATTACCACCGTCTAATTCTGGGACATTCCCTCACCCCAGGGGGAAAAAACCTCATATCCATTAGCCATTACTTCTAATTCCTCCCTACCCCTAGCGCCTGGCAACCACTAATCTATCTGCTTTCTGTCTCTATGGCTTTTTTTTATTCTGGATAGTCCATATAAATGCAGTTATACAATATGTGGCCTTTTGCACATGGCCACTTTCACTCTTTCCAAGATGCATCCATGTTGTAGCATGGATCTGTACCTCATTTCCTTTAATAGCAGCATGATAGGACTTTGGCTTTTACTCTGAGATGTAGCCATGGGAGGGTTACAATGAGGGGAGGCTGGCGATCTGACTCACTTTGTATTGGGATCTTTCTGGATGGTGAGTCTGTTGGATGGTGGGAGATCAGGAGTGGAAATGACCACCTGGAAGTCTACTTGGATAACTGAGGTGTGATGATTTTGACAGCATAGGCTTGGGTGTCATTCTGGGCTTGAATCAGACCCTGCACACTTTAGTGTGACTGGGCTAGTCATTTGACCTCCTGTGTCTTAGTCTTCTCACTTCTAGAATGGGGTAGAGCAAGAACTTTATCACTGCATTCCCAGCACCTAGATCAGCACACAGTAGGTACTCAATAAATGTATGTTGAAAACTTAGGCTGTATTAATGAAATGAATTAATAGGGAAGACTCTTGGAACAGGGCCTGGGATGTAACAATGGCTCAAGGATTGTTCGCTGTTGCTATTATAGACATCCAGCGGAAAGGCAAGCTGAGAAGGGAATCTGAGCAGAGTGAGAAGTTAGGTATGCCTGGACTCACCTGTCGGTAGCCTCTCTCAGTCCACTGAAGGACCGGGTTGGGTGAGGCCGAGAACTTGACCACTTCATTTTCGTACACGTCCAGAAGGCGGACCCGGAGCCGGTAGATGCAGCCGCAATTCTCTCGGGCGCCCCACCTGCCAGGTGGGGGTGAGCTTTGATGCCTCCGTCATCCACCCAATCTCTGGGCCTCCCTGCACTTTGATACGGGTTGCACACACCCACACCCCATATGTAGAGGTGTCAGCCTGGGATTCTGGGGGGAAGCGCCTGGGTACTTCAAGGTGGAGCCAGAGCCTGGAGCCCTCCTGGGGTGGATTCTAGAGACTTTTGGTCAGGTGGGGGAGGGGCAAGTTTGATGCTCTGGAGAGAAATGACCTAGGAGAGGAGAAGCCCCCAGTATTTCTGGAGAGGAGCCAGAGGGAGTAGGAATCTGGATACTCTTGGGATGAGTCAGAATTCCAGGGAAGAAATTGGATAATCTATGGAGAAGCAAGAGATGGAGGGAAGAGGAGTCTGAGATCTTTGTGAAGGAACCTGGGTGCTGTGGAGGAAGGTCTTATCGTAGGCCCACAGGTTCTGAAGCCAGCCAGTGCCTCTGGCCCAGCTCTGCCCCTTCTGAGCCTGTTTTCATGGCACAATGCTCCCAACTTTCTGAAGCCTTGGTGTCTACAGGCCCTTGGGGTTAGGGCAGAGTTGCAGGTGATGGAGTTGGATGGTGAGGGGAGATACCTGTTTTAGACCAGACCAAGCCAGTCAGTGGCTCCCATGCCAACCCAGGCCTGCTGGGAAGAAGGTGGGGAAGAGTGCAGAATAGGGGCTCTCGGCTCACTGAGGCTCTGCCCTCCCTGGCTCAGCAACCATGAGAACATCACTTCCCCTGCCATGGCATCGATGGGGGCATGAAATGAACCCCTTTTGCAGAACTGCTGCTGCCACCATTGGTTCTGGGGGCAGGTTGCCATTCTTCACTCACCAGTCTGCCACACAGATCTCAATCTGGGCGCTGTCCAGCAGCTCCTGCCACACCCCCTCCATCACCAAGTCCACAAGCTGCCTCTTGAAGCACCATCTGGGAAGGGGAGATGGTGAGGGTGTGGAGCTACAGTCACAGCCCAGAAATCACCTCCTTCCAGAAGCCTCCTCTGACAACGCTGTCAAAGCAGCCCCTCAGGGTTTGTTCTCTAGACAAGTGTATGTGGGCTGGGCAGCCCCATTGCCTCTCTCATCCCCCCACCATTTTCCACCCTGCCCTGAGCTCCAGGAGGCTGGCCTGGATGCAGGCCTGCCCCTAATATTTGTGGGAACCTGGACATGAGTATAAAGGGAGGCCAACATTGAGCAGGGAATTATGGGGTCTCCTAAAGTGTGGGGGCCTAAGGTCTGAGGTTGTATTGATGTATGGACTGGTCTCCCTGACCCTCTCTTTCCTGTTGGGTCAGCCAATGGGAAGCTCCAGCAGAAGACAGAAGTGAGAGAAGAGAATAAAATCAGGATATTTATCCTCCTGGCTCCCTCCCAAGGGACCACCTGGGACTGTTGTGTCTGTCAACGACGGCACAGCTCCACAGTGCCCTCTCCTCACAGCCTTCTCTGCCCTGTTTCAGTAACTGCTTCTGCCCTTACCCCTGTCAGGCCTAGGGGTGGGAATGACCCTTCTCCCTACTGTTACTAGCCTGGGGGTCATGGGTTATACCTTGTGGTCTGCCTACACCTTTGTAAATAGTTTTTCTTCCATCATTTGAATATGCCACAATATAGAAATAGTGTCATACTGGTGGAAGAACTGTGCTCAGGGATAAATCTAGGTTTTATGGGAATTTCATAAATGACAGAGGAAGCAATGCCATTCCATGGGGAAGGGATGTTTTTTTTAGTAGATGGTGTTGGGAAAATGGGGTCAGTATGTGGAGGGGTGGGGGAACTAGATCCTTAACACCACATTCAAAGGTAGATTAAAGATCTAAATGTGAAAGGTAAAGCTAAGAGTTTACTAGAAGAGAATATAACAATAGGGTGGGGAAGGCCTGGGGCGGGGGGCAGG